CTTCTCGCGCGCGCTCGCTCCCCCCTTCTCTCGCTCGCTCCCCCCTTCTCTCGCTCGCTCCCCCCCTTCTCGCGCGCGCTCTCCCCCCCCTTCTCGCGCGCTCTTGTACCCGCTCTTCTTCCTGACAGCTGTCCCAGGGGGCGAGGCGGGAGGGGAGGAGAACTCAGTTTCCTCTGATAGCTGACTTCTTCCCGGCACCACCGTTACCCATATCTGTCATAGGAGGCGGTGCGGGAGGAGAGCTCAGCCTCCTTTGACAGCTGTCCCTGCCCACACATGGCCGCTCTCCATCCTGATCTGTCACATGAGGCGGTGCGGGGAGGAGAGACGCCGGCCGCTCACATCGCTCTCCTCCCGCAGCGCTCAACCTCCTGTGACAGTTTCTCTCCTCCCTGCTGGGACACAAAGCAACGCCCAGCCGGGAGGAGAGAAGCCAGGGATGCCCCGCTATTTCGGCCGAAAGATGGCACTTTCGTCATTTTGCCAAAAGTGCCATTTTCGGCCGACATGTTTCGGCAGCTGAAATTTCAGTGCATTCCTAGTTACAATACATAGTGCTATGATACATAGAGCTGTGTGCCAGCTTCACCATGCCTTGTCTTCACTGTACTATGCGCTGCATATTTATGAGCACTTCCAGCCAAAAGGTCCATTTTTCGCGGCGCTGTTTGGATACAAATAACATTTACAGATGTTCTCTTCATTTTTTGGGTCAGGTTCACTTTAATGCAGTTATTCAGTAAAAGGCTTTGGGATGGGTACGTGTTTGGAATGTGCGGAGGTCTGTCGTGTCAGGGAAGGGGCATTGTGCGGTGTCTGACAGCTCGGGGTGGAGGCCTCACTCTGACTTCTTGGTGGTGATTTGTGTTTTTCTGGTCCTGGCAATGTTCTTGTGGGCTATGTGTAGGTCCTCACACATCAGGCCTTTGAACGGGCATGGTCTAGCAGTCCGTGACCTGGCAAGGTTGGCAGTCTGGTGTTCATTCTATGCGTAGGCTCCAGCGGCTCGGTTCCAGGATGTTCTGCAGACCATGTCAATGACATTACTTCACATTGAAGGACAACTTCATCCAAAACTGGAATGTTTGCAGAAATTTCAGATCATCTTTGCAGAAATGTGGACTGTTAGTCTCGGCAACTTGGTAGCAAATCCTCTTCAGAATACTTGGCTCCAGCTATTACACCATATAACCAAAACAACATGCCCCCCCTCCAAATGACTGGGTGGAGATGTTTTCAGTGAAGGGTTCTGATAATGCTACAGCACACAATTGTAGACAGTGGTGCGCTTCTAACTTTGTGGTAATAGTTGGGTGACGGCCATTTTCTGTTCCAGCATAACTGTTCCATGTGCACAAAGCCAGCTCCATAAAGACATGGTGTGATGAGTTCCGTCTTCAGGAAACTTAGAAAGTGTAGGAGCCAGAGGGACAGTGTAATAGCCAGGCAGCAAGCATTTTGTAAACAGTCATCTTTGACAATTGTGCATTTTTATGTTTCACTTAAAGAGGATCTTTACCCTATCTTTGAAATGACAACAAACACACACAGAAATGTTTAGTAATGACAATCTACAAACACATACTTCTAGATAATTTCCGGCTTTGTATTCTCTACATACCTTATTTCTCTTTTCTTCCCCACTCTTCTCACAGTGGCCATGTTAACTAAGGACAGATTAATCCATCTCCCTTTACTTCCTGGAACTCTGGCACACGTGACTAGGGCATGTGACCATGCACATCATCTCAGGGGAGGAAAATGCCTTTTCCTGAGATTACAGATGTAATTTCCCAGATATGCCCTGCTGATGTAACCTTCCCAGGATGCAATGCTTGGGCCTGTTACAACACTAATACCCAAGAGAACCAGGAAGTGGAAAAAATTGAAATTTTTAAGTAAAATAAAAATATGTTTGTTTAATAAATGTAACATGATTTTATATCGGCACGCTGATGTGATTTATAGTGATGGGGTGTAAAAGTCTGCTTTAAAGCCCAACTCTGCTCAGCAGAAAAATGTACCCTTGCGGTGGGGCCTCCCTTCACTTCAAGAGTTAATGCTCATTCAGTCTAAGGCCAGAGGAATAAGCTGTAAGCCCTCGTTCACACCTGAACGTTTTGTAGCGCGTTCTACGCTCGACGAACGCTCTACAAAACGCTCAAAAATATAAATCCCATTGTATTCAATGGTCTCGTTCCCACCTTGGCGTATTTCCGCCCGTCCCTAACGCGCTACAAAACGGCCCACGCCTGAAAAGGTACAGGTACTACTTTGGGCCGTTTTGTTGCGCGTTTCCATTGGGATACAGCCAAGTAGCCTTCGGAAACGCGCGATGGTCGCGCATATGCAATACGCCTAGGTGTGAACGAGACCTAATATAATACTTGCCTCACTGCTTGCTCCGGCAGACTTGCACCATGATGTGCACTCGGTCCTCCAAAGCCACTTCTCTTTCATGCTCTGACTGGCATTTGCTTTTTGATGTCGTCATATACAATGCAGGAGCACCAGTCCTGTACACAAGGACGGCAAAGGACCGCTCACAACCTAAAATGGTGGAAGGAAGAGT